TCATCGACGATTTGGCCGACAATTTGGCCGAGGATTCGCCGAGAAGATCAAGATGCCGATCAACGCATCTTCTTCTTCTGGGGATGTATCTGTTTGGGGTTTCTGTGAAGTTAACCGAAGAAGAGAAGCGCCGAGGAGATCCTTTCGTCTAATCAGAGGTTTGATTTCATTTTTCCTGAGTTTATTAGTTGATTTCTGTCCTATTTCTAGATTGGGTTTCTATCGTATTTGGGGATGAATTTAGGGCTAGGGTTTCTTTGTGCTATGAGATTTAGGATTGAATTTGGGTAATCAGAAGCTGATTTGAGGGGCAAATGCAAAAGGAAAAAGAAGTTTTTTACTCTTTTTTTTATTTCACGCAGATTTGGGGTTCCTGCATCATCCCCTACCACTGATAAAACTGAAGAAGAGGCAAAGAGACAATCTTTTGTTGTCTGAGAGCTTGATTCGACATGGACTTTTTCTCGATGCACAGTCCTCAATCTACGGTATATGTGCTGGTCTCTTTGATTTAACTCCATTTGTCCTCTGTAATAAACTGATACTAATGTTCATTTTGTGTTGCTCTAATCTGCAAAGAGAATCTGTCAATTGATAGTTCTATGTCAGCCAATAAACCTGAGGCAAGAGGAGAAGCTTAGAGAACTGTGAGTGGGTCTTTTCATGATCACTCTGATGAAGAAGATGCAGAGGCAGAAGCTGATAAACTTTGCCATCAATTCTGTTGGAGCCTCCAGAAACAGTTCTGCTTCTGCTGCTGTTGCCATCAAGTGGATTCTCAAGGTTTACTTTCTTCTCATTACTACGCCATATCAATCTTTGCATTACAATTGGAAAATTCTTATCTAAACTGTTTCACAACCCTCCCATCACATGGCTTCATTCTGCAGGATGGTGCAGGGCGTGTTGGAAAAATGCTTTTTGTGCGACAAGGAAAGAAATTTGATTATGATTTGAAACAGGTACTTATTCCATAACTTCACAAAAGCTCTGCTTCCTTTACTCTCACCTTCTAGCTCACTCTAACTTGCAGTTATGGTTTGCTGGGGATCTTTTAATGGAGCTGGGTGCTGGGGTAGAGTTGGCTACTGCTGCTGTTCCACACCTCTTTCTCCCACTTGCTTGTGCTGCTAATGTTGTCAAGGTATTTGTTTCGCACACTTAATTCTTGTCAGCTTCAAAGTTATCYCTTTGCCTCGCTATTATTGTTTATGTTTTTGTTGGTATTTGGTTTCTTTATTATTTTATCACAGAATGGTGCAGCTGTAACATCAACATCTACTCGTACACCAATCTATAAAGCTTGCTAAAGGAGAAAATATAGGAGATGTCACTACTAAGGGAGAGTGTGTTGGGAATATTGCAGATCTGGTATGACCCTTTTTAGAAMTACTTCTCATTGTTTTGTTGGTGTTAAGGCAGACTGACTTATCTGTCAAGCGRAATGAAATTTTCAGACTTTTAGAGGCGACATTGCTACTTGCGGGGAAGATGCAGAGACAGAAGCTGATAAACTTTCACTGATACARATAAKTTYTTTTTCCTTTTATTTATGTATGGTCATATACTGATTGTGAATTGGTTAAAGGAAAAATTGATAAACTTTGTTCATTGATAAATGATACTTGCTTATTCTTGCCTGCTCTAGCTTGCATCTGTTTGATTTATGTCTGAAAATCRTTGATTGAGAATTGGTTCTGGTTTGATTAGATTCTGGTTTAATTGATTGAGAATTGGTCCTGGTTTAATTGATTGAGAATTGGTTCTGGTTTAATTGATTGAGAATTGATTCTGGTTTGATTAGATGTCTGCATTGAATCTGCTCTCTCTTGCATCTGTCWTTTAGTTTGCAATGATTCTGATTAGTTTCAAATTKCAATTGTTAATCCATTAAGATGGTTCTAGTTTGATTATCTTGCAACTGGTTAGATTCTGGTTAGATTTTGGTTTGCTTCTAGCACATGATTTGTCAGATTATATTATAGGCTTAAGTGCTTTTATTGACATTAAGTTTGATGGATTGTTACTGCTAATAAACTGTTTGTGAAAGAAATAGGTTAGGTTGCTAATAAATGGTTATTGACATTAGTTGTGATGGATGATTACTGCTCTGCTTTTGAATGCTTTTTTGTGTGATGGTTAGGTAAAGAAATTTACTCTTATTGAATGGCTTAACCATAAGAGTACTTATTTGTTTTAATTAAATCAGATAACACTTATTAAACCAGAATACACTTCTTTAAAATCACTCCTCTGTCTTCTCTTTAAAAACACTTCTTCAGAAAACTCTTCTTTAAATCCGAAAACACTTATTAACATTCTGTCTTCTCTTCTGATTTCTCTTCTTTG